GAGAACTTTTTCAGTGAACTTCTGTTTTTGCTTTTAATATGTCTCTTACTGTTAGTCCTTCATGTCTGAGTAATTTGCTCGAATAACTTATCTTGCCTATTTGTTTTTGACTTCCATAACTCCTTCTGAGATAGAGATAAATATTAAGAAAGGAGTCAGCCAAGGATGCAAAGTGTCACCGCTACTTTTTGATGTAAGTATACATCCAAGACGCGATCAAATCATTAAAGACAGTACAACTGTAGTGATATATTTAGAGAGGCAAAGGGTTAGTATGCTTAGATTTGCAAATGATATAGCAGTATTAACATCTAGCAAGGAGGAGTTAGAGATAGCTTTAAATAAAAAGGAAGCGGTATTGACAAAACAGTATTGTATGAAAATAAATAAATGTAAAACAAAAATACTGGTATGCAAGGAAAGAATAAGTAAGGAAAGAGCGACAGTAAAGATACAAGACGAAAGATTCCAAGAAATGACTGACTTTAGGTATCTAGGAAGTCAGTTAAGTCAGGACGGAAGGGTAGTAGGGATATAAAGCAGAGGATAGCGCAGGGTCAAGTCGCCTTCAATAAAAGGAAGTCACTTCTATGCTCGCGAATGGTTAATTTAGAAATTCGGAAAAGATTGTTACAGATGTATGGAGCGCGACGCTGTATGGGTGAGAAACATAATCGGTGGGAGCGGCAAAAAAAAGGTTAGAAACGTTCAAAATGTGCTGTTACTGGTGAATGATGAGAATACCGTGGATGGAGAAGGTTAGAAATGAAGAGCTATTAGAACGAATAAGAATAGGGGAACAGAGGACTTTATGGAAGTCAATAAAAAATAGGCGAGATAAGTTGGAAGGACAATTTCTCTCATTTTCTCAAGCATGAAAGTCTAGTCAGAAACAGGAGTTAAGAGGAGTAGAAGTAAACCTAGCTTAGATTACTGTTCGCAAATAGTTAAGGATGTGGGCTGTTCTAGTTTTAGGGAAATGCGAAGATTAGCTTAGGATAGGAAAGAGTGGAGGTGCGTGTCCAGCCAGTCTTATATAGGACTGACAACTTTATGATAATGAACCCCCTCTTAATAGTATACCGCAGGATAATCACTTTTAAGAGTTTCTTGATATGTTGTGTTAACAATTGATATGTTTATTATAATAAAATCTTGGTTAGAACCACGTACAACCGATATCTCTACAACAACTATCGATAATTTTATGTTAAAAGGCTGATACACGAATGCCCCTCGACCGATTACCGCTGCTGTTCCTCAAGATCCTTGGGAACTACTAAAATTTCCTGATACAGGTAACGTGGTCGATCATGGGCGGCTCGGAATGGCGTTGGTATAATGACTACTCTTGGTTACATCTAGGGTTGCCACCTTTTCAGGCTTTACATAAAGTATTTCTCGACTAAAAGGTTAAAAAAAAAAGTACTCAGCATAAAAATAAAGTATTTTATTTTTTGTTTTTAAAAACATATTTTTTGTTACACCAAGCAGCCAGTAACAAATTGCTGTTGCTCTTAAATACATGAATAGCCTCTAAACATGGCAAACAAAGATTAAAGTAAACTCAAAGTTCATTTTTAATTAGTTTTAATGAAGCTTTATTCCTGTCGTCCCGTCACTTTGCGTTCATAACAGAAAATACTCTTTCTGTAAATGTTGAAGTGGCCGGAACGGACAGCAAAAGTGACACTACTTTGAACAGGTTGTTCCGGAAATATGGCTTGCCATTTTTCTGTGCAATATTATTGATGTAAAAATACTCTGAATTTAGAATAATCGCTTATAAAATTACGATGTTTACTTAAAGCCTTAAATAATGTATTTTTGCGTACTTTATTTGTCTTGTAAAGTATAACCTAGGCACAGTCGAAATAGAGTACAATACTTTATAATAAAGTACGGGTGGCAACCCTAATTACATTACAAGTATTTGAGCGTGCAACTCCTCGCCGTGGATCTGTACTATATTCACGTTTACTTCGTATGTATTTCAAACTTTTTGAACTATTTACATAGTTACCGTTTTTTATAACGAGAGAAGCTGATGGAGGGTAAAAAATATTTCGGTTGACTGACTAAATTGGCATAAATCTTTGCTGTTATATTGAAAAAATGTTTTCCAAAATGTAAGCAATAGAATGACAACCCTGTATATTGAATGCAAGGAAAGATTATAAACAAAAGAGTTGGTATGCACTGGCATAAATACTGGAGTGTTTTCCTTCCGAATGAACGATAAATCTGTCAGCAGTTGTGTTAATTTTAGAACTGGATAGTCATAAACTGTTTGTATTGCAAATAGCTTCTGGTCATTAAGAAAATTGTACATTTCACTAAGCATTAAGAATCTTTTTCTAAGATGCCAAGTGGCGCCAAAATCTTAAAACAGTTTTTCTGACAAATAGTTTTTAGGGCCATTAAACGTTTTACTAGGCGTCCTGTACATACTTCAAGGATGTTTTGAAGGCACTAATTGTAAGTGAATGAATATTATACGACAGAAATAGATAAAAAAATTCTTATTTGCGATGGTTTTGTAGGTTTTATTATTGATTAGATGAGACATTTAAGGCACTGGATTTAAGAAATTGTAGAAAGAAATTGGAAAAAACGTAAATGGGCCTAAATGTCTACATTCGGGTGTATATTTGGTTGCATACATTCTAATGAGTTGTGGTAACAATTAAATGTTTGTTTTGTTCTTTCTTATATTCGTAAGGGAACTCATAATGTGGATGTAGATTGATAACCTAAAAGCAGTAATGCTGAATTTTATTCATCAAATACATTATAATTTCCTAATAATTCTAGTGAAATTTTCTGTTTAGATTGTCACTTGTTTTATTGAATTTCAGCCCAAATCATTTCTCTTTTATAAATAAAATATTTTGTTAAATTGCGTACCATTACCTTGTAACAAATAAACAATGCACGAACATTAAGTGTAATTAATATTCTTCTTTTTATATCGAGCTCTGGATACATTTCAAGAGAAAGGCAAGTTCGTACTTGCTATTACATAAGTGGTTGTGATGAGTCATTGTTCGAAATTGGATGCGATACTCATCAGACGAACAAAAAGTGTCCGTTTATTTGTGTTTTTGTGTGAATAATAAAAAGCTCAGTTCATAACCTTGCGTACTATGTATTATTATTATTATGTTTCTGCATTGAAATAGCGCGGACCGGTTCGTTTTTAACACGAGTCCAAGAAAGGCACGCGTCCTACATCAACTTGATATCTTTCGTTTCGAGTTTTGTAGGATTGCAGGAATTCAAGTACATGTACAGTGAAAGACATCCGTTTATAATCTACTATACCTATAACAAACTGACTCAATTACTATTTGAATAAACTCTACTTAAACGTAACATTTCCGTTCTTGATTAGGTACCGACAGTGAGAATGTATCTATAAAAACAAATAAAATAAATTCAGAAGAAGAAAAAAGGCATTATAATGGCCGGAAATATACCCCGGGCCGCCGATGCTATGTATTTGATTTTTCAGGAATAGTCTCATTTTTTTCTCAAAATCTATCGAACTTCATTTGTTACGTGGGATATATGTGTCATTTAGTGTATGATTATTACACGGTGGTCAATTGATGTATTGATTTTATTACATACATATTTTAATGATTCTATCGGCGGGTATTTAGCCTCAACCACTACCACTCCCTATCTGTGACCCCACGACGACCGCATATATTGACATTTAATCACCCTAATTTATCGGTTGGAAAAATATCCCGAGCCGCCAGTGGCATGTATTTGAATTTTCAGGAGTAGTCTCAATTTTTTTCTTGAAGACTCTCGAACTTCTTGTTACGCAGGATATATGTGTCATTTATTGTATGATTATTACACCGTAGTCAATCGATGTATTGATTTTATAACATACATGGTTATGTATAACATAACGTAATGATTCCGTCGGTGGGTATTTACCCACAACTAGTACCTTATCCTATCTGTGACCCTACGACGATCGAATATATTAACATTTAATTACGTTCAATACATCATGTTTAATATTTAATTAAAAATTTCGAATTAAACGACAACATCCTGAATATCATTCCTTTATTAAAAATTTTAATCGTCAGGTAATTCCAGAAGTTCGAGCATCATCTGCTACTTTAGTCACACAAATATTCATTACATTATATTACCTATACATATGTTAAAACCATATATATTAACGCATTATTATATACCTACATAGTGATGATGAACATGTTTAAAATCGTTTACAACTTATTGACTAATTGTAGCTAATTTGATATGATCAATTAATTTCTATAATATTACATCGTGCCTATCTTATTTTTGATTCCACCTGTACAGCGTGCTATACATCGAATGTCCCAATTTATGTACGTGGACAAGGAATTCGGCCTTGGACTTTAATGTTTAAATCGTAAAAAAAAATATAAACGTGATCCATCCGTGTCAAACGAGACCCCGTTCTCCTCGATGATAATTATCATTCACCGTCATTCGCGGTGGTGCAATTTCGCTTGACCCAAAACAATTTCAGTGGATCATCGTCGCATAAAAGAATGTGTAACTGTATATATCACAATGTAGTACTGTAGTAGGTGTTGTTCATCATATTATCGCGATATTTCACGCTTCTTGAATACTATTTCGGGACTTCTTCTTAATCCGTCACAAAAGTGAATTGTATTGTTGAGGGTCAATGAGATGTTAGACAGTCAGTTTCGTTAAAGGAATAATTAGGAAATATTTGTTACGCATAGAAGGCATTTCAAGGATTTTTTACTTTATTTGAAAGTACACGCGTATGTTACACTTAAGTCTGAAATAAGGAAATGACCGAACTCTCTAGGGAAAGGGGACAACAAAGGGAGGTCGTACCTATACAAGGAAGAGAGCTTTCAGTTAATTATAATGATCAATTACACATCCAAGAGAGCATTATTTTGATACATTTGATATCATGGGACTACAATAGTTTTTTTTTTTTTTAGAGTTTCAAGGACGAACGTTTCACGGATAACTCTCGCTTATCCTTATACAGTGTGGATTCCGTATCGTTTCAGGAGCATCAGAGTTCATCAGACGTAAGTGTTTTGTATATCTTTCTTTTAAGTCGCACTTTGCATTTAATAGTAAAAACGTAATAATATAAAATTATACGCAAAATTTAAATAACATTTGGATATGAGTAGGTGTAACCAATATTTACATATAGTTGGTATTTTTGTTGAAAAAAAAAAGACAGATAATGATTCTGCCGTATGAAAATATATCAGGAGGCTGCGAATCTTCATCAGTTAGCAAGCGGTTCGTTTGATAGATAAATATTTTCAATATCTCTGTGATAATAATTACGTGCACGATACCATCTCCCCCCAGTGTGCATTACAGCTTTCTGCGAGGGGTAGCAGAAGAGGCAAGAAGGGGGGGGGCATTAAAGCAGTAAAGAGGGGCGCTCGTGGCGAATCAATCTATTTTTAATTTGCTTCAAATAGGTACAATTACAAAAATTAAACTCAGCATTTTTGAGTGTAAGAAAAAAAACTCTCTTAAGGCAAAGTCCTTCAAGATGGGCCATCTAAGATTATTGCAGAAATGAGTAAAGGAGATGTTCCTGAGTAGTATTTTAATCGAACGTTTTCCAATTCCCCATGGCTAGTTTTTCCACCAAGGGCGCCTATGTTGATAATGTTTTTCTTTAATTTGAAAGATATAACACTCGTTTCTAACCAAATCGGGCATGTGGAATTGGAATATCACATTTACTTTGGCATTATTTCATTATTTTTCAGAAAAAAACATGATTTATTTTAACTTTTAATCACGCCTTTTTTATTTAAAGTTGTATTACAAAAATTCATTCATATTCTTATTAAGAATATATATGGCAGGGGTCGGCAAGTAATTTTAAATGGGATCCGGATACTTCTGAAAATTTTTATCGAGGTCCAAGAAAAAACAGATTTCTTACCAATTTTTTATTTTAATTTTTATTCACAAAATGCCTGCTCTGAATAAAAAAGACTTCAGAGATATCGATTTATAAAACTTTTTATTTAAATAAAATTCTTGTGTTGCACTCGGATTTACAGGGTTTTTAAGTGGGTTGACGTAATATGCTCTGCTGACCGGTCAGCTTGCTCTTTTGATAGGATTAGAGATCAAAGCTCAAACGGATTATATTGTCTACAGAAAAATATTTTTTTCCACTCTTGGTATTGGCCTTTGTCTTGTTATTCGGTATTGGTCTTGCTCATTTAATCTGACACTTGCGCTTTTTTAAGTAATTCTTCTACGCACAAATTATTCTGTTTATCGTGACAACAATATTAAAAAAAAACAATAGTTTGAATCTATATTTCAACCATGTTTTATTCAGACATAGGAACAAAGAACACTTATTCTAAGCACATTCTTGTAGATTCATTTTTCAAATAGCGGTAAAGATTCTTTTTCTTTATATTTAGTGTTAAAATCTAGTAAAGCAAATTGAATATATCAAAAACTAAAATATATTATTTTATTAT